TAGTAAGTATCGAACCGAGCTAGTTTCTAGGCTAGCTACTATTCCACCGAAAAGTATAGATAAGCATTGGTTGCAATTGCATGACGCCATGAAAATGGCGGGTACAGTCAGTTGTGGGTTCGCGAAACGTCCCGCTTATAAGCACTGGGATTCTTCAGGTTCCTTACAACTCAGTGAAGTCCGTCAGTCTACTCCGGGTGACCGTGAGTTTGACTACAAACGAAGGTTGTTACGTAGTAAAATTAGGCAAAGCTTGCGTGTGCCTGAGAAGTTTATTAACATCCTAAAAGCCCTATATAAAAACACCTCAGGCAGAGTGAGGGCATACAACCACCTCTCTCCATTGTTCCATTCGAGCAGTGGGGTTAGGCAGGGTTGCCCAATCTCACCATTCCTCTTCAACTTTGCCAACGACGACATTCTGGAAACAGCTCTGATGGATGTAAGTAATGGTGGTGTGGATCTGTTGCCTGGAGAAAGACTTCTCGACCTTGAGTATGCGGACGATATTGTCTTACTGTGCGATAATGCCCAAGGCATGCAATCCGCACTTAATCAGTTGGCAATCAGTGTCCGTAAGTATGGTATGTGCTTTGCACCTTCGAAGTGCAAAATACTTCTACAAGACTGGCAGGATTCTAATCCTGTACTCACCTTGGATGGTCAGTCAGTCAGCTACAACGTAGGACCAGGCACATGTATGCATCGGCCCAGGTTGCCATACCTCATTAGCACAGCAAGATGAACACTGGATTCATAGGAGTGGTTAGGTCAAAGGTGGTAATATATAGGAGAAAGATTGCAATAAGGATATAGTATAGGAAGAAAGAATTAGTTCGTAGAAAGAAAGATGTGAAGTGATCTTAATCTCTTAGTTTAAGAGAAGACAGAGAGTGTATACACCGACGCCATTGTGATCGATTCTGAGCCATGTCACCAAGGGTCTCCAACCATTGGTTACGAAAGTCACGCGGACCCCAACCAAGTAGTCTGCATCTACCAACATGGCTCAGACTAGAAGTTAGTGACTTCAGGCACTGATGCCACGTTTTGGTTTGGCCGCCCCTAACTTTCTTCCAACCATCCCCTACACCGGTTAGCATTGCACGTCGCGGTAATCGGTGTTCAGGCATACGTAATACGTGGCCCAACCATCTCAGTCGATGAAGATTCATAACCTCATCAACTGATTTACCATCATTCCCTAATACCCTGCGTCTAACCTCACTATTACTTACCCGGTGATCCCAGCAGATGCCAGCAATATTTCTAAGGCATCTGTGGTCAAATACTAGTAGCTTACGGGTGTCTTCTACTCTTAAGGGCCATGTTTCGCTGCCGTAAATTAAAACAGAACGGACAGCCGCGCAGTATACTCGTCCTTTTATTGATAGACGGATATCTCGCCTCCGCCAAAGGTGACGTAAGTTGGCAAAAGCCAAACGAGCTTTACGAATCCGTGCTGAGATTTCGTCAGACACCAACCCATTAGGGCTGATCAGACTTCCAAGATAAGTGAAGTTGTCAACACGTTCGACTACTTCACTCCCTATCCTTAGTTCAGGTGTTGACGCAGACCAGTCCTGAAGCAACAACTTGCATTTAGAGGGAGAGAAGCGCATCCCAAACATTCTGGCATTGTTGCTTAGTGCTACCAGAAGACTCTGCATTTTGTCAGCGTCTTCACCAAACAGGACTATGTCATCTGCATATTCTAAGTCGATAAGTGGACCTCCTGGAAGGAGATCAATACCCGAGAATTCAGTCGACGAGAGTGTTATTTCCATCAATAGGTCTATGATGAAGTTAAACAAAAATGGAGAAAGTGGGCAGCCTTGACGGACACCACTTGAGGTTGCAAAGGTAGATGACAGTTCGCCATAAGCCCTGACTCGACTAGTAGTGTTCGAGTAAAGAGCCTTCACAAGGTTTATGTACTTCTGAGGTACGCCTTTCAATGACAGACACTGCCACAGAGTCTCGCGGTCTACAGAGTCAAATGCTGCTTTTAAGTCAAGAAAGACCACCATCGTCGGACGCCGATAGGTATGCCTGTGTTCTAGAACCTGACGAATGGTGAATATGTGGTCGATGCAGCCACGACCAGGTCTAAAGCCAGCTTGGTTCTCTCGTGTTTGTAGTTCACGAGTCTTAGTTAGGCGTTTGATAATTATCGAGGCCAGTATTTTAGATACTATGTTTGTTAAACTAATCCCTCTGTGGTTGTCACAGGATGATTTTGACCCTTTCTTATATATTGGGACGATAAGTGATTGCGACCAGTCAGATGGGATAACGTCTAACTCCCAGATTTTAGCCAAAATATTAGTCAACCTAGTCGCTAAAATTGGACCACCATCCTTAAAGACTTCTGGAGCCAGTCCATCTGGACCAGCTGCCCTTCCTCGTTTCAGATTAACTATAGCCTTCTCAACTTCAGCAAGAGTGCTATGCCTACACCTGCCAGTCCACGAGAACTTGCCATCGGGTCACCAGATACACGAAGGGTGTATCTCGTTGGCTCTCCGTCTTGCCGAGGTGAGGTCAAGTGAACGACCACACTGGAATCCTGTATGCGTGTTTCGGAGACACAGCATATATCAATGGAAAGAGACTCTAGGGTTTTAGCCAAGGAAGCCTGCTGACCGATTTGACATAGGGTGCGTACGTTGAAGGCTCCAATGTGTAGTTTGGAGCGAGGTTTCAGTAGACCTGGGACAGTGTTTTGAGCACTAGAATCGTTGGCTGTGGTGACACTTGAGGAGGAAGCCGAAAGAGGAAATTTAGAGTTGAAAGTCGATGTAGGAGGAATAATAGGAATTGGAGAGGGAGGTTGATTATGAATACAGTGGTCTTGAGTGCTGTTAGAGGTATGAGGGCGGTTATCACTTCCCGGTTGCCCACACCGTGGAAGGGTTCTTCTAGAGGTACCTGAAAAGGAAATTGGATTAAAGGTGGTCTTAGTGAACTGAGAGCGTGACCGCAGTGCCCAAGGGACAACTGCTTGAGGTCGGTCACACACGACCTTGTTATGGGTAATTTTTGTGTTAGCTCCGTACTTATTGAGACCTTACCGCCGGAGACGGATATCCATGGGATAAGGCGAGGTGTGCATTTTTAGGGTCGACCTTTTCTAACCCCACCCCTCCTTGTGGGAAGGCAGCATCGTTGTCATGCTGGTTTTCTGAAGGAAACACCTTACTGCTGTCACACCTCTGTACAGTGAGCAGTACGACTTCGCCTTCGGACCTTGGGTTTGTTGCTTTTAGTCTTACCGCTCTTCAACCGACCTGTCTGACATGGTAGGACCTTGAGGAACGATTGTTCCAGCCAGTATAGCTCGGTTGCTTCATCACGATAGGCAAGCCCGACCACCACGTCAAGGTAGCAACAACGGTCGGGTACCTTGGATGGTGAGCAGATAGAAGTAGTCGAGAAGTTCGTGTATCTGGGTAGCTGCATAAGTGCTGGTGGGGGTGTGAGTGATGAGATCAATGCACGTATAGTGAAAGCCAGAGCGGCTTATGCCAATCTGGGCCACCTTTGGCGCCTTCGTGATGTTAGTCTGGCTGTAAATGGTCGGATCTACAACGCGTCGGTGAGAGCAGTTTTGCTCTATGCTTGTGAAACCTGGTCTCTCCGAGTTGAGGATGTTAGACGTTGTCTCCGAAGGATTGCTGACATCCAGTGGCAACATCATGTCAGTAATGCAGAGGTTCGGCATCGTGTGTTCGGTCACAGTGATGATAATGCAATTGGTGTCACCATCTTGAAACACCGGCTTCGGTGGCTTGGACATGTTCTACGAATGTCGTCCCAGAGAATTCCATGTCGTGCATTATTTGCCGCCTCTGGGACTGGTTGGAAGAATCGGAGAGGTGGTCAGTGTATGACACGGTGTCGTGGCATGAAAGAAAGCTGCAAAGGACTGGTTTGTGTTGGTCCTTCACGACTCCCTGGTTGGGGTCCGAGAGATGGTGCTACACAGTGGCTAGAGACGTTATCAGATATGGCTCAGAATAGAAGCCAGTGGTGATCCTGCTGTAACCTTCTTTTACTTTCTTCATAAAAAGTGTTTGTGTCTCCCTTAACTGATAGATTTTTTCTGATTGTACCTTTCCGTTCCCTCATTATTACTGTTATTATTACTACACTATCTTACACCAACCTCTTTGTTATTGTTCTCTTTTTTTTTACGCTGCTTACCGTTTTTCTTTCTTTCTCTTCGAATTCTCATTGTTTTGTGTGGCGCATATATATTGGCGCTCCCTTGTACCAATATTTATGTGTTCAAATAAATAAACAATTAATTATTTCAATGATTCTATACGAGGAACTTGTACCGTTCATAACAACATTTATTAATAAGGTGTTAATCTAAAAATCTTAAAGCGTGATTAACTGACACTATAAATAGGTGCCAACTAAGCACACGTTGTAGTGAAGGTTTACAGTGCAGCATTCGTCACGCACTCAGGTGTTTTATTTTAGTAGTGGTGTGTCAAGCATACTTACCTACAACCCACAGATTTCATACATGTAAAATAAATATTGTGCATCATAACGATACTTGACCAGACAGTTTTGAAACTTTATGTGATTAGATCTAAGGAGAACGACTAATTTAACAACTGCACTGTAAAACGTTTCACGCAAACTGGCTGTTCCTTAAAGGTATGTGTAGTGAACTTATTTTAACAGCTTACTGTTAAAGCGAATATCAATATTCAGTCACGACCATTCTCATATTATTAGAGGTGTGTTTGAATTCTTAGCATGTGTTGTTGTTGTTGTTGCTAAGACGCTCTGTAGGTCGGAAATATTAATGTTCGGAAAGTTGGCTTATAGATTATTGCACTCAATGAAATTTTGTTGAAAGGATAACATTCTTTCAATTAGTAGTTTTTACAAAGCACTAAATCTCAGTAAACTCATCGGAAAATCCTTTATTTTGGAAAGACGATTTTTTTCTTTACATAGTCAGTTTAAATAGATAACAGTCAAAGAAACACTTCGAGATCTAAATCTAAAGCTGAACAAGGCATCGTCAATTCAAAATTTCGTATAACATCAGGATGGAGAATACCCAATCGTCCAATAATTTTATTGTCAGGCTCCAATATAATATCAGCACAACGACCATCAAAGTATGTTGGATCTAGAATAAAAATGTCAAATATAAAATGATTAGAATATGTAGACATTTTCAGTATAATAAATATATCTTTTTCTTAAATCCCAATGAGTAGAAAGTGGTATTCCCGACGTTTCGTGACCTAATGTAAGCCACTTCTTCAAAGTAGATAAATAATCGAAATAAATTCAATTCGTATTGTTTCCTTGGTTTTTAGGACTGCAATTGATCAGTCTCTTATTGGCATACGTGCATAATGTGCGTATTGCCTTAATTCACAATCATTATAGGCAAAGATGGATATTAGCTAGTAGTGGAGTCCAGGACGAGCGTTTCGTCCTATTTGAGACTCGAACACAGTGCCGTTTGCTTCAAACGCCATCACATATTTGACATTCTACTCAATGCTCAATCGATTTAAAACTATCAAGTCAAACCTTAGCACTGATACCTACAAACACATTAATTTTCGGTACATTGGCCGAAAGCAGTTAACAGTATCTTAAGTAGCTATCGTAATTATGGTTTAGCATCACTTAATAATCATGCATAGCAAGTATGGTGTAATTTATTTATTAAGCACCGATTCACGTAACCGCCTTTTAACTACACTGTGAGGGTTGATAATGCTGTTTAGCTGACTGGATGAAGTAGGTGGGATAGGGTTTTAATCTGCATCTTATTACTGGAAATTGAAATTCCAATGTCATGAGACATCACTTCAAATTATGTGTTGTGTGTATATTAACATAATTTGATTGACATGTTTCACCGGGTAAATCAATAGTTTAATGTATATCTTCTCAAACACGTTCAGAAACATGACCTTGCCCAACTTGTGATTAGTGTGTAACAGAGTTAGAAGGAGAACAAATAGATAAATTGTAATATAAACAGTATATTCACTGTATACTAGAGTAAAGTATCATTAAGATCTAATTTAAAACAGCACAGTTCGCTACAATATATTAGTCATTTCAGTTGACTGGATGTACAATGTCTTTCTTATTAACATTACTACAATTATTTTGACCCATTCCAGTCAGTCAGTGTACTGTTACCGGTATGAGGGCTGATATCACTTCTTGGCTACCCACAACGTCGAAGGGTATTTTAGTGAGGAACCTAAAAAGGGAGTTGGATTAATATTGATCTTAACGACCTGGGAGAGTGACCTCAGAGCCCAAAGGATACCTGCTTGAGGTCGGTTGCGCACGACCTTTTTGTGGGAGGGTTTTAACGTGTTAGCTCCGTTCTTCAAAAAGCCTTACCACTGGAGACAGAAATCCGTGAGGTATGACATTTCTAGGGTCGAGCTTTTCTAACCCCTTCCATCGTTGTGAGAAAGCAGCATCGCTGCAGATGCTGGTTGCCCGAGGGAAACTGCTACTATTGGTCAGTAGCATATGTCCTTTAGCGGATTGGCCAAAATATGATGTTGATTTAACAAATGTTAACATCTATAAATACCCGTGTTTTCTGTACAAAAATGAACCTTTGGAGTAAAGTGTTTTCGCTTATTTTGCGCCTTTTCTCTCGAGTTCAGGTCGCTGCGTAGTTCTAGCTTGTGGGTTACCCGAATAAAGCGTTCAAATTAACAAGACATCAGAAACACCTTACTGCTGTCACACCCTTCTACAGTCAGTAGTACGACTTCGCCCTTAAACCTTGAGTTGCAGCTTTTAGTCTTACCATTCTCCAATCGACCTGGCTAGCATGGTAGAACCTACAAGAAGATATGTTCCAGCCAATATAGCTCGGTTGGGTCATTACGATAGGCAAGCCTGATCATCACGTCAAGGTAGCAGCTACGATTGAGATTTTGACCCATTTATTATATATGAATAACCAATTGGCGGTGATACCAATCAGTAGAATAAAACTCACCGGATGTAGCGTTCAATCTATAACTCAAATTTGATTTTTTTTCATGGTCATTAGATTTCTTTGTTGTTTTTGACAAAATTGATTCAACTTGTAACAATTGCATTAATCTATCTAACAAACCATGAATTATTTCAAAGCCAGAATTTTTATTGTAGTAAATTGCACAAATACGTCGATGATTGCTAGCGCCGACATCTACATAATAGATGAAGAAGTAAATTAAGGTGACTATGCATATATATATATATATCCTGAAAATGGTGTTTTTTTTTTATCTTTGTTCTATGTAAAAGCATTTGTACAGCCTGTTTTCTTGATGCGCACTGCTGAGGATTCCCACAATAGGACTGAACGGTCGTCCAGTGGTTCCAGGTTTTCAATGGTGGCCTAACATCAATCGGTTCATGATCTCAATCAAAAACTTAATAATCTCCACAACCCATAGTGATTATTTTTATCTGGCTATAAATATTAATTAACGCTTGATTAGATGGCTCACACGTTTTCTCCATCGCGAGTCATTTCATTTCGTTCTGTTCTCTTTGCTTCATTCCTCTGATTTCCTGTTCAGATCAGTGTGTACAAAATATATGTGTTCAAAAATCTATTCACATATTCGATTTATTTAATTCTGTTATTCACCAATGCGACTTAAGTTGATGATTATATACGAGGATTGACGATATGTATATATCAATATCAATTACAAACAATCATACGATCTAACTGGAGTCAGATATCGGGCCACTAAAGATAGAACAAACAAGCTCAAACTCAAAACTTCTTACAGTAAGAATTATACTATTAAGATATACAACTGAAAATAGAATAGTCTATACAGACTTTAACTTTAGTGAATCATTCAACACTTAACCAACTACTATAAGTGATATTTAATACAAAGGGTTTGTGGAGACAGTTTCATTTTATAGTTTATATGACAGACTAACTATCGTTAGGCAATAATAAATAGTTTCGGGTTCGATTATTCGTATGCTCGGTTGTAGTTGTACGGTGTTAAAGAGTCTCATTCTAAGACGAAACAGCTGACCAATGCTTTTTTAACTAAGGTTACTTCCAGAAATAAACAGTAGTATATATATATATATTCTTACCTTTAGATGGATTTTTCAGTACAATATCTTGAACTTCAAATAATTTCAAAGGTAATGGTAAACTTTTATTACTGGCTAATGTATTCAACAATCCTGGTAATAAACTGGTTCTGACAACCTGGACATGAAAGAAGAGGAAAATATGCATGAAAAAGAAAATTATTCAACAAAATTTAAGGAATACATAACACTGAACATCAGTAGTAAGAATGAGATTTTGTGAAGACTAATTCGATAGAAAAATTGATAGTAAAAAGAAAAGATCAAAAGGTGTTGGATATCCGCTTTATCTTACGTGTGTAGACTCCTTATAAATGAACCCTAAGCACGAGAGTTGAATCAGGAACATAAGATATATTGAGCATTATACTTTTAGACAACCTGAGACAAAATCCAATAATGAACATTCCCAAATATAATCAAGCTAAGATGCTATGCAACTATAATAATCTAATGTCATCAGTAGTAATTATTCCATTACTTGATAAGGAAGTATTTTATATTTTAACAATATTGGAGAAAATTTGTAGCTCAGATAGATGATTTTCGTGGTGTTCTCTCAGCTCGGCTGTTTAATTGCTCTGTTTTCGTTATCATTCTGGGAATAAGCGTTGTTTAAACGAATGTGAGTGAAGGCTTTGTAATTAGGCTATTAAACTTAATGAACGAAACACAAATAAAAATCTCTTATTAATATTTTATATTGTAGTGTATATTACTTATATCGGTAGACATAAGTAGTATGTAACATCAGTCGGAACTGGAATGCTTTGTAACAGAAAGCTAAGAAGATCAAGTTGAAGAAAACAGGAAAGAATTGTGAATTGGAAGAATCATACAGAATGTGAAGGACAATTGATGGAAGATTTCCAACTGAAGTATTAAATGTATGGTTCTTATATTTTACCAAGATATTCTGTATTAAGCAATAAGTTGGTTATCCATTAACTGAATTCTTATTCATTATAATATTACTTGCAGTGATATATGAACATCTGAGTTTTAACTTTATTTCATGACATATATTCCGTGAATTCATTCCTATTGGTCTTTTATTTTTTTACTATTACTGATACTACAACTTCTATTGGATTAGTACTTATCTGATTAAATTTATCACATTGTACTAATGTAATATGGTGGTTTGGATTCATGAACCTTTGCACTAGCCCCTGTATCGATGAAGAAGGGCAACAACGGCATCGGCATCTATAATTAATAACATTATTTCTAACATCTAGAGAAGTATATTCCTTAACTACATGGATAAGATATATAACATAATCGATTGTTTATTAGTATAATAAGTGTCGTTTTACTTAGTGTTGATAGCATTGTATTCACCAAATTATAAACTATTCAGGTATTGAATCATGTTTAGGGAGACGAATGTTAAGGGAATTCTGTACTTAAATGTGCTACGATATTCGTTACAAACGCGTATCTAAGATTATCATAAAATTAATGGTTCGCTGATAGACTCTACCAATAAATGAATAGCAATGTTATACTTTGGGTAATTCATTGATGACTTACTTGAAATCAAGCGTTTTAGGATTAGATATGTGTACAGCTAGGATATCATCTAATTTTTGCCTCAGTTTAGTACTGATATCTTCCCTGGAGCACTGAAATACAACGGAATAAAAAACAAAACAGTATAGCATTCATTATTATTGTTTACATGTAAGCCCCCCCTGATATGGCCGAGAGTGGGGAGAGTCAGCTCTCCTTCTCCTAATGCTCTCACATGGCCATGTGCATACAACTACTGCCAGGAATGTCCTACTCAATGCCTTATCGCGGCAATACTGTTGTTTAAGAAATTCAGAGGGCGAAAAGCGAATGTCCGGCGCATCAACAGGGATGGTGGACATGGAGAGTCCACCGAGGTGACTTGGAAAACCCTGATTACAAACCAATGCTCCACATGGGCTACAGGATCCTGAAGGAGAAAATGGCTTATGAACTTATTGTTGATCACCGACTACCATAGGACTGGATCTCTTGACGTTGCTCCACTGCCTTGTGGATTAGACCTTTGGGTCGAAGGCTCCAGATATGACCCCCTAAGAAGACCACCTGCTTCGGTTTTGGCACCCGGACAGCATCACAGCCCACACACAAATCAAGTGACTTGTGTGGTGCATATCTGTTTGAGAAGCCCGAACCTCCAAATATAATTCAGTCCGATGGTCACGATATATATTTAGTCTAGCCATCTTCACCACATTTCCAATGTAATTCTATTTTAGTCAGGATAGGTAGTAGATGGGGACAAGTAACAAATGTTCTAATCACCCTCGTCAGTCAGTCACAACGTAGAACCAGGTACATATATGTATCGGTCCAAGTTGCCATACCTCATTAACACAACAAGATGAACACCGGATTCACAGAAGTAGTTAATTCAATGATGATGGTAATATATAAAAGAAAGATCACATATAAGCATATATATTACAGGAAGAAAGAATTAGTACGTAGAAAGATATGTAGCGATTCTAATCTCTTAGTTTGAGGGAAGACAGAGAGTGTATACACCGACGCCATTGTGATCAATTCTGAACCATGTCACCAAAAGTCTCCACCCATTGGTTATGACAGCCACGCGAACCCCAACCAAGTAGTCTGCACCAACATGGCTAAGATCAGAAGTTAGTGACTTCAAGCACTGATGCCACGTTTTCGTTTGGACGCCCCTAACTTTCTTCCAACCACTCCAACACTAGTCAACACTGCGTGTCGGGGTAATCGGTGTTCAGGCATACGTAACACGTGGCCCAACCATCTCAGTCGATGAAGATTCACAACCTCATCAACTGATTTACCATAATTCCCTAATACCCTGCGTCTAACCTCACTATTACTTATCCGGTGATCCCAGCAGATGCGAGCAATATTTCTAAGGCATCTGTGGTCAAATACTAGTAGCTTACGAGTATCTTCAACACTTAATGACTACATTTAGTAGCTGTAAACTGACCTAATCACCTTAGGTCTATGTGGATTAACGGTCTCATCAGTAGAGTAATCATCTTTTAATAGAACCCTATGAATAAAATAGCTGACGTTAGCTCAAAGTTTTCACCATATGTCAGAAATGTTGAGATGCGGAAGAGGAACAAACATGAATGAGACAGCTGTTCAATGCTACCTTATTATAACAATCACCTATTGGTCATTCCATTATGAAAATGATTCATAAATTCATCAATCTCAGTGTTTACACAGCCAGTTGTCATACATTTTTAGTGGAAAGCCATGACTATCTAGAACCAATCAAGTAATTAGATGGGATGGCTTTTTATTGATGACAATGTTGACTGTCACTTTATGTCCATAGCATAAAGATATAGGTTATAATTAGACCACTGAACTTCATCCGTCTCAGTAGCAAGAAACTTACATGTTCAAAACCCGAATCATGTCAAATTTGTTGAACTAAACTAAAAACAAACAGCTATCTGGTTATTAGAAATGAATATTGATCTAGTAATAAAGTAGTCATTTCGAATGTATCATACATCAAAGTTTAGAAAGAAAACATTAACGCTAATAATATCATTACAATTTGAATTGGTTAATACATCTAAAATTTATAGTCAAGATGTAGGGAATACAAATGTTATGTCCCGGCGAGAATTATCAGTGATAACGTATGAGAACTATTCATGGACAAACATCATATGTATATTCTTAATGTATAACTATTCAGTAGCTAAATTATACATATCTATACTCCTCTTAGTACAAGCTTTACTTTGACCTATAAACTATTATTATACGATTTACCCCACTGTCTATCAATTACTACGTCCCACATTCACAGCCACATTTGGATAAATCTTGTACAAATGTTATGTGGTTTGGTTGGTTTGCATATAAACTAAGTTTGTCTGAAATACATGATTCACATCGCGGATGCTGAGATCGGGGTTCTGAACTTAACAGGTAGGGCTCAGCAGGAAGACGGACCAATAAAAACTCTAGACTGTTCGTATGGGTTTTATGCATCATTGATTCAGTCGATAAATCACTGTTCTCTAATTGGCGTTATCATTACATTATATAATAATAGGGCACAAGGCCTACAACAACAAGACAATAAGATTAGACATCAGTGCGAAATGTAATAAGTATACGATTTAATTACAATAACATTTGTGGAATTTTACTTTGTTAACGAAATTTATTTATTCCAAGATGAAATGATATAATTAATACATTATTAACAAGAGTTACATAATATATATGTCAGTCTATAGACATGATCAGTGCACGGTTACTCTTAGGACACTGGACCGTTTCTGAAAGTATAGAGTGGGGGCTAATACTTTCCACTTGTCAGTAGAAATGGTAATATACATTCAATTTGTCAGTCTATACAGAAAACTTCAACGAATTTTATGATCAAAAAATGTCAACATAACAAAATAGTCAACGAGAATCCCAACACAAGCAAAAATACTAGTGTATGGGAATAACAAATCTATCGAAATAGACTGATTTGGGACTTATGAAATAAATTTATAATCCTCACTGGTTATTTATTCTAAGCAGACATTAATGAAGTTGATCGAAATAGCAATGAGAATTTAACAATGAAAGTCATCAACCCCATAGAATGCAACACATCACTAGAAGCATCTATATGAGTTTCATAAACTCTTTTCATTAAACAACTTCTGTTTAGTTGGCATTCAAAAGATTAATAAACATTGTTTATAATGTCAAGCCTTAGTTATTAGTATTTTCATTTTATGAAACTAATCCACTGACTTTATTCTGAATAAATTGTACAAATTCCATTGTTGGTTGAAGAAATACCAACTTACTAATGAAAAACTTAATGCTTCAGTAAATCCCATTTGAGCTATTTCAGCACGAATAAGATCTGTCAACCGACTGATTGGTTGATTACCAGCTACACAATAGGTTTGTGGTAAAGATTCAGGTATATTATCATAACCGAATGCAATCCCAACATCTTCAGCTATATCACATGCATGTAAAATATCATGCCTTGTAGGTGGTATTCTTACAGAGATCAGACCAGTTGCATTTTGACCTAAACGAAATGAAAAGAGAAAGCAGATTAGAAATATTGATTCATATGAATCTTATTTTGGAAAAAAGGGAATCCCAGATGTTTGAAATTAATTGACGTAGGGAGAAGTGACTAACAAGAATTATCTGTGACACTTTTATTTTAAAGGTTTGCAATACAATATTGTTGAAACTCTGGGCTGTAATTGATCAGTCTCTGTTATCATATGTGTATCCTGAGGGAATCACCTTGGTATAAACTTTGTCTCAAGTTTTAGCGTAGTTGGTACTTGACAAGCCATGGAAACTAGAATGTACATTTTCTCGCTTTTGAGACTCGCTAGCTGGATGTATCTGCATTCTAGTGTTGACATACGAACTGTGACTTGAACCCGGAGTGTTGTCCACTAAGCTACAGAGTTCAGAGAATACACATGAGAATAGAGATTGATCGATTGCAGTTTTGAATACCAAAAACAGAAAATTACCAATCCTTACTGATGTCTAATTACCCGTTGATCATATTAGTTGTTAAATGGACTTCACAGCTCAGTAGATAACTTATTACCCTGAATGACATGGCTCAAAATCGTTTGCAATGGCACAGGTGAATCCACTCTTTGTGTTCTCCCAAATTTTGATCTCCTCATTCCTCCTTGTCTCTTTTTTTTCTCCTCTCAAATTTATTTCACTGTATTATACTCTTTAAGTAACATCTCCAAACACTAATCTTCCCGATTACTGCTTATACTCTTATTACCTCTACTACTAGGGGATTTGAATCGACCACTGCATCTCTATGCTAATGTGGAGTGGCAACTCGAACTGATGTACGTACGTACGAAGTTCTACGTTGTTACTGACTGACTGAGATAACTTATTGCGTTTGGGACGAAAAATGTTGGTTTTGAGTCTTAATGTGAATATCAACACTTGGGTGCAAATAAATCCAGATGATAGATCTCAAAAAGGACAAAACGCAAGTCCCAAATTCCAGAACTACTCACAATCCAGTTTTACTAAAAGAATATTCATAATGTTGAGGAAGCGCTTCATACCAGTGAGATTCAGACATGCATTATCAGTATTCTCCACCCAACTCTGTACTGGGTAGACCTTCTTAGTTGCTATTCATCCTTTTCATACTAGCTTCCAATTGAAGACGTAGTGTGTACTTTGGTGTCCCTCTTTTCCGCTTCCCTTCGGGATTCCAAGGTTAGGCCTGGCTTATGATGCTGTTTGGTGATTTACGTTATGTATGTCCTATCCACTCTCAACATCTTTTCCTAATTTCCTCTTCAACTTCAAGCTGGTTTGGTCTCTCCCACAGAAGGCTGGTTCTGATGGCATTCAACCAACGAACATTCAGTATCTTACGTAGACAATCGTTTATAATTGCTTGTATCTTCTTGATGATGGTTGTAGTAGTTCTCCATGTTTCAGCACCGTATAATACAACTGTCTTGATGTTCCTATTGAAGATTCTCACTTTGGTATTGGATTTTAAATGATTGTTTTGAGTTCTATATTATATGTTCTTCAATTGTAGAAATGTGGCCTTTCTCTGCCAATCCTCGACTTTACGTCTGTATCCAATCCTCCGTGTTCATCAACGATGCTGCTGCTGCTGCTACTAACCATGTACGTGAAGAATTCCACATCATCCTAATGTTATTCAGTAGAGTGAATATCATGTTTTACCAGTTTCTTCAACATTTCAATGTGATATCCAGTCTTTTTTTACTTTCATTAAGTAACATCCACTTGATAGTTTTGCTTACTTAGTAACAAGCAGACTTTTGGTTGTTTGCTTTGTTTTCTTTAGAACAAACACACACAGGCACACATTGGCTCTTGTTCTGTTTTCTTCTTTCATTTCATCAGTTTGATGTGACGTTTCTTTTTATTTTCAATATAGAAAAACAACTTGTTTATCTCCTTTTTAAAACGACTCAAAACAAGAACAAGATTTGCAGAATCAATTTACACTTTCCATCTACAAATCAGCTTGTTTTTATGTTTGTTTAAATTTATCAAAAACCGATCAGATTTCTATCAAAACAATTCACCTATCACATCACACTATACTGATACATTTTGGCATCTAGTGTTCATTAGTTATCTTAATTACAACTTGGTCATTTAGTTTCATTCTTTTCAGGATTTTCAAAGTTGTACAAGCACAAGTAAATAGTGTAGATTATACAAATTATAAAGACTTGACTACTACTACTACTATCAAAAATAATAGTAGTAGTGTGGAGACAGTTAAATGTTGTTGGACTCTTGTCAAATCATTCAACAATCGGGTGATTGAATGTTGAACATTTTACAGATCCTCTTCAAGGTCTAGGATAGCCAACACGCATCAGTTAACTACATACCGTGGGCTGGCTCATGGGACAGTGGTTGTGCTCTGTTTCTTATACCTATTCTTGCTAATACGTTCCTGTAATATCATTATGTTCGTTTTACACTGTCATCAAAGTAGCCACAGTATCTCATATTACAGCTGAGGTTTTCAATTGACATTATTTGGAAGGATGAAGAGTAGGAAAATGGTGATGTGTCAGAAGAAAGAGGAAAAACTCTACAGACAGTTAAGAAAACGAAAACTGTCTGCTCACTCACAGTTGGTCAACATCTGATACCACACTTCTATCCTTAACATGTACAACGGGAAAACACACTCACCTACATCTGGTCAAATATCTTCTACACTAAATTCCGCCTCTACTTAAATACGTAGGTTCGCAAATACAAACATGTTCGTCATATAGTAAAAACTAGTTGAAATATTTTATTTCAACTGTTTTTGTATACTGTAATCGGTAACATTTCGTCAGATGTTGTTTAAATGTTTTGTAACTAAATACTAATAGTATTTGTGCTACATAGTAAGTTCCTTGTCCATTATTCAGCTTCCGACTTCGATTACGAAGTTCGGAACCGTCGATTGTACTCTCGGAGTTCTCTCTGACTTAAGTACTCATCCATAAATAACGATTAGTGTAAGAATTTATTTTGGTAGGAACTCAAATACTGGTACCGTTGATTTGATGTTCAAACGTATTTTGAGTCTTTCATACGGTTCAGCAACACTGTGTTGGAAACCTTTCCTAGCACTGACAGTAATGTGATGCCTCCATAGTTCTCACATTTGCTCAGATCTCCTTTCTTTGGTATATTGATGAGTTATCCTTCCTTCCAGTGTATCAATGACACTTGTTGCTCCTTCCAAATATTCCTGATTAGAACGTGAAGCATGTTTGCAGTTATATCTATATCTGGCTTTAGTGTTTCAGCTAGTATATTGTCAGGTCCTTCTGCTTCCCCGATCTTGATTTGTCTGATGACCATCTTGATTACTTCGATCGTTGGTGGGGGGACGTCGATAGGGATATATTTACAAAAATACGAAAAGTCGTTAGGGAATTTCCAGATACGTAAAAGGTTGGTCATATTGTTTCTGTATACTGAATAGATGGGGCCGAATGAATAACAACACCACAAACACTACAGTACGACTTCACTGTCATAGATAGTATTTTTTTAGAGCTCTTGGTCTTAATCTCTCCAACAGACCAATCTAGTTGGATAGAACCTCAGCAGCATGAATCAAAATCTTAAGTCGAAAACCTTTTTTTATCACGTTAAGGCAACAGTACTATTCTATCAGATAAGTCGGTACAATCGATTATTTCAATAAAACATTACCTGGTGTTAATATATCTGAAGTTGAATCTTTACATTGATTCGACGATACAGTTGTACAAGTGAAACCCATACGATTTAATAAATTGATCACTTCTGTTTCAGAAATATTGGTACCTAATTGACGATTGATATAATCAATACTGACAACTTCATCACGATAATCTAGACGCTAAAATGTAAATGAACTAAATATAATAATAATAATAACAGTATAGCATTTTGAAGAAATAATATGACATTGAAAATCAAGTGATCCATGATGATGTAATGGGATAGAATGAAGTCTAATAATAGGCAAAGCTTAATTCACTAGATAAGAAGTAACTTAGAAACTGACTAACCACCAAATGTTTATGATTTGATTTTGTTTTCAGTATTTTTAATATTTTATGTACAAGCATATTGTTTTCGTAAGATCAAACAATCAATTCATTTAGTTAATAGTTGTGTCAATAATCAAGAATATAAGCTTCACACTATGGTCAATTATACTGTACTTTATTCTGAAGCAATTGGGGAGGTAAAAAAAAACACTAAGAAAGTTTACTTAAACCTTAAGCTGATAATGACCATAGTATGAAACGTGTAGATATTTATAGAAGAATGAGGGGGTCATTGACAATCACCAGATAAAAATATTAGTCTCAAAGACCAATATTTAAATTTTAGTATTACAAGGGGGTTTTTGTGGAGATTGTAGTAATTTCAGTAGTTGAGATCATGAGTCAATTGAAACTAGAACATCATGGAAAACGTGGAAGCACTGGACGGTCACCTCGTCCTATTGTGGGACTCCTCAACAGTGCGCATCTACGACTCCGTCTTGCGGGATTAGAAACCAGGATCCCTTCTGGTACTAATCAACATATGCTCACTAGTGACTGGCTTCCAGATGTATATCCTGGAGTTCTAGTGAGAAGCAGCGACCAGTGAAGTTCGACTGGGTCAGTTGTGAGATAGTAATTCGCTGATGACAATGGTGGATGTGTCGCTCAATTTCGTGGATTAGTTGAAGTTAGACATTAACACCGTTGGATGCCAACCGGCTCAGCGGTCTAGAGGTTAAGCGCTCGCGCGCGAGACTGATAGGTCCTGGGTTCGGATTTCGTGAGGCGAGGTCGTGGGTGCGCACTACTGAGGAGTCGCACAATAGAAAGAAACGGCCGTCTAATGCTTTCACGTTTTCCATGGTTATCGTCTAGCTTCGATTGACTCATGATCTCAACTATTTAAATTTTACTCAATGGACTTAAATATTTTGAAATGGTAACATTAAAAAAACCTTGTCTTTACCTAACTGTAGTCGGATTTTCGGGGAAACGAAGTATTTCACAGTTATTTAAAATAAAATAGTTTAACTAAAGCTACGATAGAATACTCACTGGATATAAAAACGACTGCCATCATGTTGAATAACTTCGACAGATTCAGCGCTACAAAAAAACAAAATTATTTTATAAATGTTTGTACTGAAGAATGTCTGTTGATGTGTAGATTTATTTTAAAAGGATACTCTGACTAAATTTTATTTTGTTTATTTATTTAAACACGTAAATATTGTTACAAGGAGGCACCAAATAGATGTATCACATAAATCACTCGATTTGTGTGAGGGCTGGGATACTGCTCGGGTGCCCAAACCGAACCAGATGGTTTCCTTAAGAGGGCTACACCTGAAGGCTTCAACATAAAAGTCTGATCCACAGGGAAGTGCAACAACGTTAGGAGATGCGATTCGATGGTAGCCGGTAACCAACGATTGGTTCATACGCTACTTGTTCCTTCAGGGTGCTGGAGCCCATGTGTACCATTGCTTTACAATCAGGGTTTTCCAACTCACCTACGTGGACTCTCTGTGTCCAGCGACCCGGTTAAAGCACCGGATAATCGCTTTTCGTCCTCTCAATTTTGTGAACAATAGTAATGCCGTTAGAAGGCAGTGAGTAGGACATCCCTGGCAGTGGTTGTATGCATGTGACCATATGAGAGCATTTCGAGAGAGACAGAGAGCTGACTCTCCTACACTCGGTCGTACTAGGGCATTTGGAAGCACTAAATTACTTGTTAAATTGAGGAAGCATTGTCATGTTAAGTGCGATATTAATAATAAGAGTACTAGGAGACAGTTGAATGCCATTCAGAATACATCAGTTTAATAATATCGAGATTATCACTAGATTTCATACGAAAGTGGGGACTGTTATTGATAAAATATGTCATCTATTAATGGAAAGAGATAAAATTTAATGTGAAAACAAAATAAACCCAACTAGATATCCAAACATTTTGAGGTTTATTTCATTTTCTGGAAACCCAGAAGAACTAAACAACGACTGAGACGATTTCAGTGAGTCAGTCAATCAGCTACAACGTAGGACCAGACACATATGTGTATCGGTTAAAGTTGCCATAACTCATTAGCACAAGGAGATGAACACCGAATTCCTAGAAGTAGTTAATTCAGTAGTGGTCCTTTGAAACTGTTGAAGAATGGAATTCATGAGTTCTTTAACCCCAATAACAATCAATCCATCAACTTTATCATGATCAGCAGAATGTTAGAATTCTTACATATCACAAGTTATAAAACACATCAGATGCATAAGTGAGACGTTTATGTTACAAAACCAAGTTATTTATCATTAACTGACTGATATTTTTTTTAATTGTAGAAAATATAATAATTAATGAGTTAAAAGATACATTACAAATATTCATGAATATGTAGAACTAGTTCAAGTAAAGTATAGATATCCATGTTTATAATACTGACTATTATTAATTCATATTCAGTTCATTAAATAGAATACAATGAATTACAAATTCATCTAGACTCTTCCCACTTGAGTTGCTGTTATATCGTGATGAGAATAATGAATAGCAGTAACTGTTGGAATCTATTTCTGGACTAATACTGTACATATATTCTTATTGTGTAATTGTCAAATGTCTAAACTATCTGCATATTCATGTTCCACTTATTATGAGCTTCATTTTGACCTATGAACTATTATTATACGATTTACCATTCTCGAGTTATACCCAGTCTATCAAGTACGATCTTCCACATTCACAGACACTTTTGCTAAATCTTGTACAAATGTGTATTTTCTATTTACGGTATGATGGGTCTCGTTGACATGTATATAAGCCAAGCTTGTTTGAAATATATGATTCATACAGTGGAAGCTGTTATTGGCGTTCTGGACTCAACTGGAAAAGTCAGGCAGAAAGAAGGACCGATAAAGACTCTAGACTGCTCGTACGCGTTTCATGCATCATTAGCCTGGTTGACAAATCACTGTTCTCTCATTGGCGGTATCATTACGTTATACATTGATAGGGACACAAACTTACAAATTATAACAACTACAAATCATCACTATCATCTCACAACCTATCAATTAATAGAGGCACTAGACAATTAAATTAACAAAAAAAAGAATAATTACGTTTTTAAAGAGAAAAATAGAGAGCTTACGTAAATGGTTCCTCACAATACTCTGAGAACATTGTGATAAGTGTATCGAGAACAACAATAGCTTTGTGTAAATCAGTTCCAGTCGCTTCAATAAAAACGTTTCGTGTTTTAGTAGAAATACGAGAATGTTCACCTGAATAATTAATAATAATAATAATGTCAATAAAAGCACAATATGGGTCATATTTGAAACACTCAGAAAAAGGGGACATAGTTATTTAAATGAAGCACGAATAACAGAAATTTAAGCAAAATATTCTGCCCATTAAACATATCACCAAGGTGATTATAATTACATATGTTACACAATAATTCGTGTTATATTGTGATAAAATGGTCAATGTTTCTTTAAAGCTTTCAAAAGATGAACAATATTTTAAAATATAATCCACGAGACAGAAATTGACAGTCATGAAAACAACAAAATCAGTTGTCATACAACAACTCTAAGTAACCGTTAAGATATTTAAACGACTATTAACTGTTTCGTGAACTATCAACCAAATAATATGGCTAATAGATACGAAGGATAGAGAGGATATTGCCTACAAATATGAACAATACAAATCAGAGGAAGTAAGAACAAAAGACTAAAATGGATCTCCTGATGGTCAGAAATAATACTATCATTAACAGTAAGGTAATGAACTGCCAGCTAAAACGTTAGGCAACATAACTTGTAGTGATTAAAAAGGTATTAACTTTTTCTAAACCCTGAACATATATTTTATATCGTTGTTATCGCTTTTTATAAATTATGACTAAATGCTTTCAGTTATCATTTTTAAATTGACTCATTTATCAGCCAGTTGGCTATAAACTACACTATCGTTAATAGAGCTAATGATGTGATGCGTGCTACTTATGTTGATCTTAGCAGTATATGATGCGAGTCAGGAATGTAATGTCTGGCAGCAGAAGTTGGGGAAGATCAGGAAATGAAGAGCGGTAATAGAAAGCAATTAGTATGGAAATGCAAGGGCAACGAAGTTCGAGACAATTATTGAACATTTTGCAAATTAAGTATTACAGTATGGTTTTTCTATTTTCAGTCAGTCAGTCAGCCACAACGTAGGACCAGGGACATATATGCATCAGTCCAAGTTGCCATACCTCATCAACACAACAAGATGGACACCGGATTCATATAAGTGGTTAATTCAGAGGTGGTAATATATAAAAGAAGATTGCAATAAGGATATAGTATAGGAAGAAAGAATTAGTTCGTAGAAAGAAAGATGTGAAGTGATCTTAATCTCTTAGTTTAAGAGAAGACAGAGAGTGTATACACCGACGCCATTGTGATCGATTCTGAGCCATGTCACCAAGAGTCTCCAACCATTGGTTACGAAAGTCACGCGGACCCCAACCAAGTAGTCTGCATCTACCAACATGGCTCAGACTAGAAGTTAGTGACTTCAGGCACTGATGCCACGTTTTGGTTTGGCCGCCCCTAACTTTCTTCCAACCATCCCCTACACCGGTTAGCATTGCACGTCGTGGTAATCGGTGTTCAGGCATACGTAATACGTGGCCCAACCATCTCAGTCGATGAAGATTCATAACCTCATCAACTGATTTACCATCATTCCCTAATACCCTGCGTCTAACCTCACTATTACTTACCCGGTGATCCCAGCAGATGCCAGCAATATTTCTAAGGCATCTGTGGTCAAATACTAGTAGCTTACGGGTGTCTTCTACTCTTAAGGCCATGTTTCGCTGCCGTAAATTAAAACAGAACGGACTGCCGCGCAGTATACTCGTCCTTTTATTGATAGACGGATATCTCGCCTCCGCCAAAGGTGACGTAAGTTGGCAAAAGCCAAACGAGCTTTTCGAATCCGTGCTGAGATTTCGTCAGACACCAACCCATTAGGGCTGATCAGACTTCCAAGATAAGTGAAGTTGTCAACGCGTTCGACTACTTCACTCCCTATCCTTAGTTCAGGTGTTGACGCAGACCAGTCCTGAAGCAACAACTTGCATTTAGAGGGAGAGAAGCGCATCCCAAACATTCTGGCATTGTTGCTTAGTGCTACCAGAAGACTCTGCATTTTGTCAGCGTCTTCACCAAACAGGACTATGTCATCTGCGTATTCTAAGTCGATAAGTGGACCTCCTGGAAGGAGATCAATACCCGAGAATTCAGTCGACGAGAGTGTTATTTCCATCAATAGGTCTATGATGAAGTTAAACAAAAATGGAGAAAGTGGACAGCCTTGACGGACACCACTTGAGGTTGCAAAAGTAGATGACAGTTCGCCATAAGCCCTGACTCGACTAGTAGTGTTCGAGTAAAGAGCCTTCACAAGGTTTATGTACTTCTGAGGTACGCCTTTCAATGACAGACACTGCCACAGAATCTCGCGGTCTACAGAGTCAAATGCTGCTTTTAAGTCAAGAAAGACCACCATCGTCGGACGCCGATAAGTATGCCTGTGTTCTAGAACCTGACGAATGGTGAATATGTGGTCGATGCAGCCACGACCAGGTCTAAAGCCAGCTTGGTTCTCTCGTGTTTGTAGTTCACGAGTCTTAGTTAGGCGTCTGATAATTATCGAGGCTAGTATTTTAGATATTATATTAGTTAAACTAATCCCTCTGTGGTTGTCACAGGATGATTTTGACCCTTTCTTATATATTGGGACGATAAGTGATTGCGACCAGTCAGATGGGATAACGTCTAACTCCCAGATCTTAGCTAAAATATTAGTCAACCTAATCGCTAAAATTGGACCACCATCCTTAAAGACCTCTGGAGCCAATCCATCTGGACCAGCTGCCCTTCCTCGTTTCAGATTAACTATAGCCTTTTGAACTTCAGCAAGAGTTGGGGGACCTACTTCAATGTTCCATTCACATTGTCTGGGAATGGAGGGTAGTTGTAGAGTAGCTGAAGGCCAGCTGAACTGTTCTCTAAAATGTTCCGCCCATCGTTCTAAACGTCTGGACTGGGAGCAGATGAGAGTATCGTCTTTTTCCGAAATAATCTCACTTACACTTGACTTATTAATTCCAGTTTCTTTTATTAGTCTGTAAAGCTGTCTTGTGTTCCCTATAGTCGCCGCCTTTTCCATCTCTTTTGCTTTCGTTGCCCACCACTGCTCACGGTCGTTCCTTAGACTTTTTCTTAACCTAGATCTGATTTGTTGTCGCTCTTCATCATGTTCAGAACCTGATGGGACGAGTTTGCGAGAATCCATCAGTGTGATAGACCTTGAAGAAATCCACTGGTTCCTTGTAACTCTGTGGTTTAAGTCACTAATAGATGTCACTGCTGTTTCCACAGCTGCTTGTATGTTTTCCAAGCAACATCTGGGTCAGCCTCGTCTTCACAACTACCTAAGTGTGACCTCAGTTGTTCCTGGAACCTACTTTTGGTTTTCTCGTTACTCAACTCAGTTCTAATGGGTCTTTTTAATGTGGCTTTTTTGCGTCCAGTGAGGCGCAAGCAGATGCGTGCCCGTATTAGGGCATGGTCGGAGTCCAAGCAGGTACTCCAGAATGAGCGACAATCTTCTACCGACCCTCTCCAACGATGACTGATGGCAATATGGTCTATTTGAGTCCATCGTTGGTTTGGTGTAGGGGGTCGCCATGTTAGACGATGTCTCTCCTTATGCTTAAAATTTGTGTTTGCTAAAAATAAACGATTGTCTGAGCATAGCTGCAGCAGACGATCACCATTATCTGTTCGCTGTGTCGGAATACTAAAATATCCACCTAAATGCCTTTCTGTTTGGTTTAAGCTACCTATCTGAGCATTAAAGTCACCCTACGAGTACTATGTCTGAGCGTTTAGCTTTCTGAAGAAGTTCGGAAGCTTTCTGTAAAATTCATCTTTCACTTCATCTGAGCTGCAGTCAGTGGGAGCGTAGGCAGAAACGACAAAAAGGCAACGACGTGTGTCCCTATCCTTCCGAGTTCTTACGTAGCCGTTTAGCCGAACAGCACATAGACGACTGTTGACGGGGATCCACTCTAGCAGTGCTTGTTCCGCCCTCATGCTTAGTGCTATGCCTACACCTGCCAGTCCACGAGAACTGGCCATCGGGTCACCAGATACACGAAGGGTGTATCTCGTTGGCTCTCCGTTTGCCGAGGTGAGGTCAAGTGAATGACCACACTGGGATCCTGTATGCGTGTTTCGGAGACACAGCATACATCAATGGAAAGAGACTCTAGGGTTTTAGCCAAGGAAGCCTGCTGACCGATTTGACATAGGGTGCGTACGTTGAAGGCTCCAATGTGTAGTTTGGAGCGAGGTTTCAGTAGACCTGGGACAGGGTTTTGAGCACTAGAATCGTTGGCTATGGTGACACTTGAGGAGGAAGCCGAAAGAGGAAATTTAGAGTTGAAAGTCGATGTAGGAGGAATAATAGGAATTGAAGATGGAGGTTGATTATGAATACAGTGGTCTTGAGTGCTGTTAGAGGTATGAGGGCGGTTATCACTTCCCGGTTGCCCACACCGTGGAAGGGTTCTTCTGGAGGTACCTGAAAAGGAAATTGGATTAGAGGTGGTCTTAGTGACCTGAGAGCGTGACCGCAGTGCCCAAGGGACAACTGCTTGAGGCCGGTCGCGCACGGCCTTTTCGTGGGAGGTTTTTGACGTGTTAGCTCCGTTCTTCAAAGGGCCTTACCGCCGGAGACGGAAATCCGTGAGGTAAGGTGAGGTGTGCATTTTTAGGGTCGACCTTTTCTAACCCCACGCCTCCTTGTGGGAAGGCAGCATCGCTGTCATGCTGGTTGTCTGAAGGAAACACCTTACTGCTGTCACACCTCTGTACAATGAGCAGTACGACTTCGCCTTCGGACCTTGGGTTTGTTGCTTTTAGTCTTACCGCTCTTCAACCGACCTGTCTGACATGGTAGGACCTTGAGGAACGGTTGTTCCAGCCAGTATAGCTCGGTTGCTTCATCACGATAGGCAAGCCCGACCACCACGTCAAGGTAGCAACAACGGTCGGGCTTTTCTATTTTACCAAGTAACTGTAATTTTGTGCTAAATACATTCGATTGTCCCTACCCGTGTTCTGTTCACTACAATGATACTACTCAGCTTCGTAAACCGATATACGCGTGGAGGAGTTCCAACGCGAGACCCAGTGGTTGAAAATCCAAAACACTGATATACATTTTTGAGAAATGTTATTTAAGCATAAATATAGCTCACCGTTTATTATTGGAGGCATTGATAGAACAGTATTGGAACTGTCGAAAATAATTGGATATTTAGGTTTATCTTGAATTAATGAGAGATATTGTTTTAAATGTGAATCACTCTAAAATAAAAATTTAAAAAAACTAGGCAGTTCACAACACTAAAATTGAATTATGTGTTTATAAGACTAACTGATGTACTGTATAAATAAAACGTTTAACCTGAGATAGAACTCTCTAAGGTTGAAGGGGTTCAATTCACCTTATTGAAGGTTGTGGTAAAAAAGTAAAGGATCGCCATAGTATCCTATTCTGACCTATGTCTAACGTTTTATGCCAATAACTGCACCACGGCAATATGTTAGGGACTAGCCGTTTCTAAGCTTCCACCCTATTCCAGAGCTGGTAAATGGTGAGAGATGAGGAAGCTACTGAGATGACATCCATAAAACATGACTAATTAATCAGAGTCGGTGTTCTAAGATGGAGACACTAAATCCGAAAATGCATTATCGAACATTGGGATTACTGACCAGACCACAGAGACACTACATTATGTGCAACCTGACCGAAAAAAATCGATTGACACTAAGATCTAGATAAACACAACATTGGCGGAAAAGAGAAAGACTAAAGAACACATTGCGTCGGGAATTGGAAGTAGACATCAAAAGCATGAATAGCATATGGAAGCAACTGAGAAGGGTTGACCAGGACAGAGTTCGATGAAGAATGTTGGGGGTCGGCTTGTGCTCCTCCACGAGAGATAACAGACATAAGTGTTTAATATGTTAATCAACTATCTATTCCATATCTCATTATATTTTTCAATTGACCGTTCTATGTTCGTGTTTTTGATACATAACTTCTATATGATACTTGCTAGTAGTAGTAGGACGTGTTTACTGCGCAGCAGTTCGTTCCGTCCTACTTTATGGCAGTAAAACATGGTCGGTAAGAGCAGAGGATATTCGTAAGTTACTAGTATTTGATCATAAATGTCTTCGAAACATTGCTCGTATATCCTGGGACCATCGAGTAAGTAACACAGTTGTTAGGAAACGGGTACTAGGTAAGGATGGCAAATCAATTGATGAAGTAATCAAAATTGACCAGTTGAGATGGCTGAGACACGTGTTACGTATGCCCAACTACCGACTACCTCAACATGCGATGTTTTCTGGTGTAGGAGGTTGTAAGAAAGCTAGGGGCGGCCAGACCAAAACATAACACAAGTCCATAAACATTAATCTAAGACAAAAAATTGAAAAACATTTCTTTGCTCCATTCGTTTTCTAAAATATCAGGATCGGGACTTTCGCTCTACTGAAATCTGAAACTCAATAAATAAAAAAGTACTGCATGCATAATTCAAGGATTGGAAGCCGGAATGCTAAACTACCAATATCTCAAAAACATCTTTAAATGTATATATTACCATACGTAATGGATGTTTAACAAAGAAAAGCAATTTATACCCAGCAAAGACTCACAGAAAATATTTGCATTAGTTCTTCAGCACTATGCTCTTCAGTTTTGTTCAACGCTTTAAAGCGAATATCTTTAGGACATTTAGCATCATAGAAGAAAGGTGGATTTAAAGTGTCCAAATCATGCGCTCCAATGGCCACTAAAGATCGTTTTCTAAAAGTGTATTAAATGTTCATAAATTCAAGTCAGAACACAGATTATGATTGTAACAAACAATAAAGAAAAGGTATTACATACAACCAAAGTTACTGTTGCCTCTGTTTGACTTTCTAAATATGACATTAAAAGTTTCGAGGTAATTAAATGATTACTTTTGAAGATTCCATAAATTACAAATTTATTAACAGTATTCAAAATGGTAAATTAAACCACCACGCAAATACAGTAATATGTAGTAACTTTACTTGTTAAACGCAACAATAATCGTCGTCCTTTGCTTATTGGTTAAACGGTGATGATGATAAAACTGAATAAAGTATCTTGACAAGATGATAAAAGTAAATAACTGAGGACAAAAAGCAAAACTAACAAATGAAATCCAACCAATTAATAAAGAAGTAAAGTTTCATGAGAGACAATTTCTAGTTGATTGTGTTGGTTCTGTCGAATGACATAGAATCCAAAGTTGTTACAGACAAAAACTTTAACTGAACTTGCTGATCATAGAAAAACAAAGTCTATTCGAACCACGAGTCGATGGAAGCTGCTACATCAATTAGAAAATGTTGTATTTAGTTTAAAAACAAAACGGAATGAGACAACTTAAGTCAATGTATCAATTGGAATCAATGTATAAATGCGGCGGATTTTGCACTTTCACGCAATCCCTGCTAAAAGTTTTAGGACATTCTGGTCAATAAATAAGACTAACCATGTGGATGCTAAGATCTTTTTTGAATTTTTATACAATGCTCGTTTGATTTAAATTTATTGACTACATACAAGCAGCCAGGCCCTGTATAAGAAAAGACGAAGATTTGCTATTGGAAACGTAAAGCTGCCGTTTGGTGAGAGACTAGCTAGACTAAACCTGATCACCCTGTAAACGATGATTTTATCACGATCTTTGAATCGCTGACTAACAAGTGGTCACAACTCAATCTGCCGGTACATTTAAGGAAAAGACAAGTTAACAGAGGGAACTGTATAGGTAGGATAATAAGGGGATTTCAATCCTTCGTCATTTTTAAATTCAATTTAAGTATTATAAAACTAACGGCAGAAGTATAGTACGAGATATTACCTGCACAAATTTTGGTGGAGCTTCTCTTGTAAGTCGATGAAACTATTGAGCCTAAACTCATCCAGCACAATGTTTCTTAATACACCAGCAACGACAAAAGGTCTAACACTTTGAGTCTGTTTTGATGAGATCATCTTGCGATTGACTTACCGACGGCAAAACATGCAACTGAATTAGATTTTGAGGTTTCTTGGTGACAAAAACCGGAGGCTTAATCCTAATGTAAATAAAGTCAATAAAAGTTGCCCTACTTTGATTCAAATATCATAAGAGCTCGAGATAAACCCTCAGGACAAAGTAAATCATAACGATTAGCAGGTATTTCAACCTTATAAACGGGCTCAGTACTACACCCTCTAGACTTTTCCTTTCCCTTTTCTCTAGTAACTAGTTCTTTTTCGGTTACCTGAAACCAAGTAAACATTTAAATTCCAGCATACAACTTCGTCCAGTTCGAGACCATAACTGAAGCATAATTCTTCAAATTCTTCTTGTGCTATGAAAAAACGTTAGTTATTGTTTACGCAGCTATTACAATATTCCTTTTGAAGTTTGCGGAATAAAACCGATTGAGAAATAGACACGATCGGCATTATCTTAAGGTATGACCTTCACGTAGGTCACGCGGAAATATTTATATTTACCGCAGACATCGTTCATTCAAGTAACAGGTTCCAAGAGCTGAAAAAATCACATACCATAGATATTTCGTCTTTTGTACTCGTCTGTCATGTCCTCTGAGTTGTTTTGGCCGGTAAAAAAGGGTACGTTAGGTCCAAATTTGTTTGGATTCTCAGAATAGCGATGCTTCCGCATCACGCTCTACTGGCTAAGCTAAACCTATTCCCGTTGTCATATCAAAGAACTAGAGGAGGTTGGATTACAGTTTTCAAATTCCTTAGTGATAAATTTGCATCTGACATTACCCTCATTTTTCTTGTTTTCCAAAACAGAGAATTTACGAGGACACTCCAAAAACGTTCACAAACCCTGAACAAATTATTTGTCAATTGACTATTGACTTTCTCATTGAATCATCAACGATTGCAATTCATTACTTCATCACGTGATTGAACCTCAGGCTTTTGACTCTTTCAAAAGATGATTGGATCAACTAAGAGACAATCATTGCCATGACTAACACAATCCACCAAGTCTCCTATCCTTTCCAGACTGAAACTGTTTGTAAATGTTCTACAAATCAAAATCAGATCACATATTGATCTGAAATAAGGTAAAGAAATGAGGTCTATCTTTTCAAACCGCTTTGTCTATGACCGCCTTCGGAGTTTTAGAACTGTACGATTAGCTGTACTCTGGATGTTTTAGGATATCCGAGTCACCCTTTAAACAGGGGCTGGCATCCCGGATGCAGGTTTGAAGTTCGGATCTTATGAGGGTTGTGTATACTGTGGTGAACATGGTGGTATCCAACTTGGTGAATGTTCGTCTTAAAACCCATCGTGTTCTAAACGCTTTAGCTGCAACATCCTGGCAATGGGTCATGGTCTTAAGATCATGAACCACTATGACACAATGGCCCTAGTGAGACTAGATCACGGGAACAGACACTTCTATGCTGTACGTATTTGCCTATGCATCTCCAAAGTACATGTAGACGCACTTGGCAGCAATAATATTAAAATTATTTATTCTCAAATAACAGTTCGTTACATGAAGCATGCCAAGTTACAGGCAACATCAAATTGTTATAAATGATAAGATTTCCACTGTAGCAAATTACTCAGCTGGGTTGATAATTTATAAGATATGAATGTAGATGGTTTTAGTCAGTATAACAGTTGGCGCGCTTCATGAAAGTTGCGTTCCGACGTGCAATTGATGGTCAAGAATAGATCCATTGAGGGTGGGAGCTTCTAGAAATCTCAAGCTTATATCCCTTTGGAACATCTGAGGTTTTAATGATGGTGAAGGAAGAAATCCACTGTTCCATATCTGTTTTCAGTGGCGTATCTCAAGGGGGCTGAAAAAAGTTGAGAGAAAAAGAAAAGGCGAGAAGCAGAGCAAACAATGTTCATGAAGGAATAGTTGAGATATGACTACTCAGTCTAATTCTCTCTTTTTTCAAAATATTTATTAAGCAAGACCATTCAAATAGGTTAAAAAAATGAGTGTAAACAAGGTATGAGTAGATAAACAACTGAAAAATGGAGGTGGTTCAGAAAAAAGCTGAGAGCATGGGATTATGTGCAGTTATAAAATATAGTGCTAAAACCAGTATTATGATACACAAACGGCCGTCTCTCTTTTTGGGATTTTATACGGTCTTTAGTAGGCTCCGTTTTTAGCGAATGGTCTAGTTTGCTTGTAATAGGATGACTGGGTAGGAAGTGAAACCAATTCAACCTTCTAAACACGATTTAATTAGGTATTTTGCATAATAAATCAGCATCAATACCATTAATTCATGACAGTCGACTAGATCATAAGGAGTCGTAATTATACGAAATTTGGATTGAAGTTATCTCCACACCAGCCACTTTTAGACAATGAATCAAAATATGTAAGTCTGCCTGAAATGCGCTTGCCGTTATTTATAGCCAGATTTTTGCATCGTCAGCGTATAGTAGCATTGGGGACTCAACTATGTATGGTAGTTAATTTACATACAGCATAAAAGGTAAAGGACATAAGATGGCCTCGCGGTACTCCACTAAGTACTGGTTTTTAAGTGGAACACTCAGAATTTATTCTTACTGTCTACGACCCACTAGGAAATCCTTAAGCCATTTTAAAAGAGGTCCGGCAATACGAAGATTTTCTAACTTCAATAGTAGTCTATTTCTTGGCACCTATTCAAATGACTAACTGGAGTATAGGTAGACAATTTCCACTGATTTTCTATTGCATATAGCCTCTATCCATTTCTTCCTTGCTCTGAGGAGGTTTGTTGTACAAGATAAACGCGTTCTGAAATGATGTTGTTCACTGTTTAACACGTTTTGGTTTCCACGAATATTAATATGATCTTGTTGACTATTCTTTCCAATGTTTTATCAATGACACTGGTGAGGCTGACAGGTCTGTAGTTCGATGGAAGTTGTCTTGGTCTTGTTTTATGTATTGGAGTGACAACTGCATCCTCATAGTCTGTAGGTATTCACCTTGACCAAGTGACATATTGAATATCGTAGTCAATGCGGCTGCAACATACTGTACACTTTGTCTCGAGCTTTTGGGATGTACTTCATCCGGTCCTGTTTACTTTGCTTGGCTTAGGTGTTAAGGGTCTTAAGTACATCTTCTCGAAAAAAGTCAATGGTGAGCAGACAGTTTGTTGACTTTGTATTTGGTTCTAGTTCTTCGCCTCTGCTTTTTGCTGACGATCCTCTATCATTTGAGATGCACGCCCTTCCGTAAACAGTTTAAGAAATTCGTAGTGCATCCCTGCCTTATAATATATGTACGAGAAGAGTTTCTTAAGCGGCTTGATTATAGGTTGTACCAACGGCTTTTCATATTTTCGTTAGACTGCCCGGAATTTGCTTATACGCTGGTTTCGGACCGATCTGTAGAGTTCCATAATATACGCTATGCCAAAGCTCATGGCAACTTTAAAACATTTATTCTCCTGTTTTAACAAACGCCAAATATACCGCTTTATTTAAGGATGGCTGTACGTTTTCTTCTTGGTTACCGTTCAGGGTAATATTAGTTGAGTTACTTGAGGTTAGAAGTTACTAGATCACCCGGCTTCAAGGGGAGCCTCAATGAAATATTTACATTTACCGTCTGTTGGCAAGTACTTTTTGTTCTAGTAGACGCCTCCTTTTTTATCTGTCGAAACAACCCGACTCGTTGTTGAATAGGTCTTCATTTAGATTGTGGAGCCGAACATGTTAAGCGCAAGGTTCGACTTTCAAGCACGAAAAGTTTTCAAGATTCACTATTAAATAATAAGAAATATAATGCCAACAAAAATAGGGAAGTCAATGAATCCACAAACGATAATATATTGAAATTACAAAAATGTTTTCGGCCGACACAACTAATGTTTGTGCTTGACCTGAAATTAAATAAGTATTTTAGGGGATACACGGACGTTCCCAGGATAATACACTAATACAAATCACCCCACTTTGAACCATTTATACTGCAATGACATTGAAGAATAAAATATCAAGAATTGTGACTGAACTACTAAATGAAAAACGAAAAATCAAAAATAGCATAAAGATATCACAAGTATTTGGAGTTTGACAACACCTTATCCAGTCAAACCTTCAATAATCAAAATGTGCCAACCCATTGAAATCGGGTATCAGAAGTGAAGGGGTTTGAAGATATATTTCACAGGCTTTCAATATATTGAGAAGTGGTTGATCTAAGCTGGCTAGCGACTGTATGATAAGTTGAGCGCAGCTCATCCACTTGTGATGTGGTGTGGGCGCAGGGCCGAGCACCATCAGCTAGGTCAGTACATTAGAACTAATGCAGTCAGAGTCAAATGTCGAAGACTTACAGAGCTACTGAAGTTCGAGATTTATTTACCGCTACCAGAGTCCCAGTGGGTTCAAATTTACTTCAAAATTATGAATCTTTGATCATATTAACGTCCGGTAAAACGTTGGATACACGTCTTTTAAAACTAGGGAATTCGAAACACAGTTGTTATGCTAGGGCTGACTCTCATCATGAAGATTATATTATATGAGTTACAAAAATGACGTACAAAAATGAAGTACTTGTGTATACGGACATCATTAGGCAATCAGTTTCAAATACATTAGGGAGATAAATTGATAGTGTTACTGTCAATCAAAAAACATCATTGCAGGTTTTCAGTATTTACCAGAGGTGCTATTTTTAGAAACAGAAATTAAGACAACGGTAATTATAGTGGTATCCACTAATGTTAATTGTCAAGTAAACCGACATTTACCTAGGTTATAATAATTAAACAAACAGGGTGATGTATTAAAAAAACTCAAATTCCAATTCAGGTTAATAAAAGTTTTGTTTTAATCCAGAACTAAAGAAAATATACATCCGGGGATGTTCAAATAACTTTAGTCCAAAAGATAAAAGAATTGTTGATCAATCAACTATATACATAGAAAGATTTTTACAAATATTGACACACATTCCTTCAGGACTACACGAAAGCTCCTAGAAAAAGACCTAAAATGGACTCTACGTTTATGACACCTGATTGATCTTTGTACATTTAAAGCCTACTATTCTATAACCTACATGATTTATCCACACTATTTTTTGACATTTCGTTTATGCTACGGTACGACTACATTTTATGTACCAATGACAAATTGAGGCTTATCAAATCTATTATAAAGTACATAAAAGCAATAATTTTTTCCTTGAAATCGCAGCATGCAAAGGTATTCTAAACAAACTTCACATCTTAAATAATTAACAACATAAACCTAAATCTTTAGCTTAAAACAAGTATCAAAGAAAAGCATGCGCTTATTTCATCGTTGTTATATGCATGTTCGTGTTGGTATGATTGCGCTAATGAACTGAGTATCTTTTATGTACTGATTATCGAAATAGCTAATTGCCATCTATTTCAAATAAAAATTATCTTACACATAATCGCCGGACCACGGTC